ATTGTGGCAACAGTAAGGGCACTAAAAATGCATGGTGGAGGGCCAGCTGTTGTTGCTGGAAAACCTCTTGATCATGCATATTTGACTGAAAATGTTGCCCTGGTTGAGGCTGGTTGCGTGAATATGGCACGACATATATCAAACACAAAATCTTACGGAGTAAATGTTGTTGTTGCTATTAACAAGTTTTCAACTGACACTGAAGCCGAGCTAAATGCGGTTCGAAGTGCTGCTTTAGCTGCTGGAGCTTATGATGCTGTAATTTGTTCCCATCACGCACATGGTGGCAAAGGAGCTGTAAGTGCATCAACTTCCTCTGTCTTACACTTGAGCATACATAGATGAAAGTAACAATAGATCACTTTTGATTAAGTTGTTTGTGGCTAACATATTTGAATGTAAAATTTAGCTTTGAGCTGTCTTTAATTTTTCACCTGCTAGACGAACTGTTTGTTGAGTTGCTTCCTTGGTCTCTTGAAACAATTGAGCATTGTTAGCCTCATGATTTTTAACTTTGTGTTGGATCAAATGTCCAAGTAGTGCTTCTGGCAGCACATACTTAAATCCATCCCATTCCTAGATTTCAGATTTAAAGTAAACGGAGCCATTTCATGGATACAATTAGCAGCACAATTTAGTTTATATACATGCTTGTCACGGTACATAATACATGTCATGGTATCATTCAGTAATGGTGTCCTCTATTTGCTAAGGTATGACTTGTCGTGATTCAGGTTGACCTGGGCATTGCAGTACAAAAAGCTTGTGAGAATGTGACACAGCCATTGAAGTTCCTGTATCCCTTGGATCTGAGTATAAAAGAGAAAATAGAGGCAATAGCAAAGTCATATGGAGCCAGTGGCGTTGAGTACTCTGAGCAGGTGATCTCATCTCGTTACATATTAGATATAGCAACTCATTTGAAGTAGGCAAGACCAAATAAAACACTAAATAGAAACCATGGACATAATTCTATCCTGGTGCAAGTTTGTTTAGGGGAAAAGAAACAACCTTAAAGACAAGGGAGACAAACCTTACACATCAAAGGACTGCACAAACTACAACTCCACTATGTTTTAGTCTTGTTCTTACCTAATCCTTATTGCATGTACCTATTTATTTGTTAACGAAAAAGACTTCTCTTTTTACCTTTTAATGTGTGACATTCTTTTTATCAAACTAGGCTGAGAAGCAGATTGAGATGTATAGCAAGCAAGGATTTTCTGGTCTTCCAATCTGCATGGCTAAGACTCAGTATTCTTTCTCAGACAATGCTGCAGCAAAAGGAGCTCCAAGTGGGTTTGTCTTACCCATAAGGGATGTAAGAGCTAGTATAGGTGCTGGCTTTATTTATCCTTTAGTTGGAACAATGAGTACAATGCCAGGGCTTCCAACGAGGCCATGCTTCTATGACATTGATATTGATACAACAACTGGAAAAGTCACTGGTCTCTCATAAACCTCAACAACGAGGCCATGCTTCTATGGCATACCAAAAGCTTTCTTCATCTCATTTACATATCCCTTTGTGATGTTCATCAATGTCATGTGGCAGTAGCATTCCTCCTTGATGTTTTCTTCATGTTTGTTTGCATGGTTGGGGGTCTGTATGAATGAGATAAATAATTTAAGGAGAGAATTTTATATCTGTTTTCTTGTATGTTTTTCTGATATGCAATAGAATTGATGTAAACTCCTGGTGACTGATACTTGTTATGCACACTGAAATCACGTACAAATGGAGAAGTTTAAATTTCATCATTTGGAGAATGTGGTCACTGGTATTTTTGGTATAAATGGAGGAGATAAAACTATACAAGCGTGGCACTGATCAGTTTTTAATTAAGTTAAATGGTAATTTTTTTTCCACTTATTTTTCATCTATTTTTCTTCTTCTACTACTAGTTTTTCATCTATTTTTTTTTTCTTGCACTTCCTCAGCTATTCTTTTCTCGTTACCAATGAAGCATTAATGAAATGCGGTTTTATTGATGTTGTTTGCTCACAGTTCACTATGATTTCTATATAAATCCACATTTCGTCAAAGAAATGTTTTTATTTTCTAGATTTTATACTTTTGCGTGATCAATTGTTTGGTATTTTTGTACATGGTACTCAACTTTTAAAGAAAGATGTGAATTCAAATATGTTTCTATTTAACTTAATATTTTCGCAATTTAAATATTATTTTCATATTTTGGTGAATGATGTCATTGATTTGTTATCGGAAGAAAATATGATAATAAATATTCATACATAAATTTTGATCTCGTTTACCTGAAAACGCAAAAATTAAACACAACTTTCTCCAGTTTTTTTGTTTTGTTAATGGTACCTACACATTAGTATTAAAACAAAATTAATTAGGAGTGTTTATGCGTAGATTTAGCTTGAGTTTCATCAAATATGTGACTGGACACAGTTAAAATAGGTTGAGTTTATATTTAGAAAGAGATTAAGAAGAGAGAAGTATGTTAATCATAAATTAAATGTTAATCCCAGAACATAAATTTTAAATTATGTTAATCATATACATATACAATTATATGTTAGATCAACCCGTTGAACTAGTATGATCATTAATAGAATCATTAATCGAGTTGGCTTTCAGAACATTGCATAAATCTGGTTTCAAGAGTCAAGATTTATACATGTCTTGAACCCGATTCTCTTGATTTAAAGAAAATTAGAGAAAGAGCTAGAGTGAGGATCACTTCACTTATTGAACTACTTGACAGACAAAACTCACAAGCCAAAATAGTTGTTAAAAATTCATACAAGTTCATTAATTCAACTGATCCTTTAATGTAAGTGGCTCCTCGGACAGACAGTGACATGCAAGAGCAATCTAATCTTCCTTACTGTGGGTAAAGTGGCATCTGAAAAAAGAAATAATGTAAAAGTAACCAAAAGCCACCACTGAAAACCACAAGTTTTAGATGAGATCAAAGAAACTCAAGAAATTGATCTAGGAAAGTTCTTTGGCAGCAGCAATGACAGCTTCCTTGGTGAGACCAAACTCCTTGTATATTTTTCCTGCAGGAGCACTTGCTCCAAATCGATCAATGCCAATAGCCTTGCCTTTGCTTCCAACAATCTTTCCCCATCCAAATGTTGATCCTGCCTCAATGCTAACTCTAGCTGATACAGCAGCAGGAAGAACACTCTCCTTGTATTCCTCTGACTGCTCATCAAAAAGTTCCCAGCTAACAAAAGAAACAACTCTCACAGCTTTCCCTTCCTTTCTTAGATCCTCAGCAGCAGCAGCAGCAATTTCCAACTCAGAACCAGTTCCAATCAGGATAACATCAGGCTTGTTACCTGATGAGTTGTCTGAAATGGTGTAGCCACCCTTTTCAACTCCCTCTATAGAAGTTCCTGGAAGTTGGGCCAACTTCTGCCTTGAAAGTGCAAGAATTGAGGGTCTCTTCCTGTTAACCACTGCAACTTTGTATGATCCAGCAGTTTCATTGCCATCAGCTGGACGAAGCATCAGAATATTTGGCATTGCCCTGAAACTTGCCAAGTGCTCTATTGGCTGATGAGTTGGTCCATCCTCTCCCAGCCCAATGGAATCATGAGTCATCACGTAAATCACTCCAGCTTCACTCAGTGCAGAAATCCTTATGGCAGCTCTCATGTAGTCCGTGAAGACAAAGAAAGTTGCACAGTATGGAATGAATCCCGGGCTATGAAGAGCAATGCCATTACAGATTGCTCCCATTCCGTGTTCTCTAACACCGAATCTAACATTTCGCTCTTCAGGAGTACCCTTTTGGAAGTCTCCATACGATTTCAACAAGGTCATGTTGGAAGAGGCCAGATCCGCACTTCCACCAATCAGACCAGGAAGAACCTTAACAAGGGCATTTAGATTTTGCTGAGACAGATTTCTTGTAGCATCACCTGGGCTTTCAGGAGTGTATGTCTGCAAGTTGAAATCAAATCAGAAGGGTTGTCAATAATCACAAACAATTGATACAACTCAAGTTTTATTTTATGTTAACACTTTGAAGGCTATGCTTGAATGAAGATGCAGCTTGAAAGAGTAATGATTATAACAAATCATGGAAAAAATCAGATTTTTCCTAGTTATGAGGGCACCAGCATCATGCAATGCAACTATACTGATCATATATACCGCAATAGAAGTTTGTTATTTTACTCACAGGAAGTGCTTTCTCCCAACCAGCTGGTAATTCACCAGTAAAAATGGCCTTCAGCTCTGCAGCTTCCTCACTGTATTTCTTCTCATATTCAGCAAACTTGGCATTCCACTCAGCTTCAAGTTTGGGACCATCAGCGACATGGCGACTCCAATGTCTAAGGAAAAAAAAAAGTAAAGAAAGTTACATTCTAGATCTGAAATCTCATCATACTAATAGGAAACAACACATCTCTAACTCCTCATCCACACTTTTTAACGTCTTCTGGTACATGGAAAGGTTCGTATGGCCATCCAAGATTCTTCCTTGTAGCATCCACTTCTTTAGCACCTAATGCACTTCCGTGAACACTGTAGGAGTTAGCTTTGTTTGGAGAACCATATCCAATGGTAGTGGTTACCTGTGAAACAGTAATCACAGATGAAAAGAAAACTGATAAAATACCCCAAAGAAAAACATATCAAAATGCTTTGTTTTTGCTTCAATCATGTCATGTAACTAACCTTAATCAAAGTTGGTTTGTCTTTGACAGCCTTTGCTTCCTTGATGGCTGCACGGATTTCATCATACCCTGTATTTCCATTCTTCACCCAAATCACATGCCATCCAAGTGCTTCAAAACGTTGATCAACATTCTCAGTGAATGCAATCTCAGTGTCACCATCAATGGAAATGTGGTTGTCATCATAAAATGCAATAAGCTTCCCTAGACCCCAGTGACCAGCAAGTGAACATGCTTCATTCGAAATTCCCTCCATCTGACAACCATCACCCAATATAACATACCTGCAAGAGCAAATAAAGTGAAAAAATCTCATTGACAACACAACAGGCATTGCAAGGTGCATAAATCACAGTGTAGAGAGAAGGGTGTGCACTGAACAAGATAAAGTTTTCTCACGTGTAATGGTCAACAATCTCATTGTCAGGCTTGTTGAATCTTGCTGCCAAGTGTTTCTCAGCCAGTGCTAATCCAACAGCATTGGCAATTCCCTGACCCAAAGGACCTAAACAAATTACGAGGATAAGCAACACAACTCAGCAAAAAAGGCTCACTATGATAACATAAACTAAAGAAACATCTAACCTGTGGTCACTTCAACTCCAAGTGTCTCAAAATTCTCAGGATGTCCGGGAGTCCTGCTTTCCCATTGTCGGAAATTCTTCAGGTCTTCTTCCTATTACGTAACCCAAAAACAATAAATTCAGCCATTGAAGATCGCATAACTTCAAAAGCTTTAAAATTATGTTTCCATCAAAAGTCATTTATTCTCGGGAATATTAAGATACATACACCACCTCACAACTTACCAAAAGAGTTAACAACAAATGCTATGCGAATTCCAAAGTACTCAAAACTGTTCCACCAATCAATTCATCATTATGTTTAGATACAGATAAAAACATACATGACTTCAATTTTCTTGCACCGAGTCCAACGATTTTCACATTATCAATCAATGAAAAAATCATATCAGATATGACTTTTTACAATTTAACATAAAAGTTCACGAACTTAGCATATATGATAAAATGTGATCATTCATCTAAATTACATTGCAAGAGCAGAGTGAAGCAACACAATGTACAAATGCAGATAGCAGGAGGATCAAAATTATCAGTCACAAAATCAAATCAGTGTGAATAGTAAAGGACTAAAAAAACTAGCGAAGAAATGAAAACCAAGGAACCAACCTGAACACTGTCATAGCCTGCAAGGTGAAGAAGAGCATATTGGAGCATGCAGCCATGTCCAGCAGACAGAATGAAACGGTCACGGTTGAACCAAGTGGGGTTCTTGGGATTGTACCTCATGACTTCATCGTAGAGAATGTGGCCCATTGGAGCACAGCCCATGGGGAGACCAGGGTGGCCAGAGTTGGCCTTTTCAACTGCATCAATGGCCAGAAAGCGAATGGTGTTGACGGATTTCTCAACCAGAGAAACCTCAGTGGTCTGGTCCAGTGTCTCAACAGCAGTGGCTCGAACAACACTGGTGGAAGCACCCCTTCTACGTGAAGCTGCAGAGAAAGTGGTTGCTTTGCATGGAGGATGAGACTTGAGGCCAGAGAATGATGGGAAGGAGAGTGAAAGACGATCAGAAGAAGAGCCATGAAGGTAAACAGCAGGGGCCAAAAGGGCCTGAGAAAGATGCAGAGAGGATGAGGATGCCATAGCTTTTAAGGTTCAAAAGTGGAAGAAAAATGAAAGTCAAAATGAGCCACTTAGGTGAGTGGCTGTTGAGTGTAGTAGTAGTAGTAGTAGTTGAAGTGATGAAAAAGAAGAAGAAGAAGAAGAAAGTGTTGATGATCTATAGAGTCCTTGTTCTTGCGGTCCACATGTTATGGACAATCTTAGCCTATGCTTCTGGCTATCTTCTTCCCACTTCTCTGCCTCTCATATTTTCTTCATAATTTCGAGGATAACAATTTATACAATCATATTATACTTTATTCCATCTTTTCTAATTTTTTAATAGTATATTCCCATCTTATTCTTCCTCTAAATATTTTCATCCTTTCCACAATAATTCATGTCTGCGTACATGCATCTAAAATTATTTTCCAACATTATTAATATTCTGGTCCGTTACGTGCTTTGGTTTGACACATGATAAATTCACAGGATAATTCATTCAAAAACTCATGAAATCAAATTTTGTAGAGCAAAGTAAGTACACGAGTCTTCTTTTTTTCAAAAAAATATATCCAATTTAAATGTAAAAAATATAATTAATTTTTAATCGATCATAAATCTAAGTAATTTTAATTTAATAAAAAAATTATAAAAACATATTAATAACATAGACTTTCATAGAGATTTAAATAAATTTTATTATTTGCTTAGGAAATACAAGACGTTGACATTTATACCTAAATAAACCTATTTAATTTTTCTTAATTAGCTAAACATATTTTCTAAATATATATTATGTACATCTGAATCAAAACTAAATAAAACAATTTAATTTGAATTTTTAAAGCGATAAATTTATGAATAATAATTTTATAGACTTTTTATTATATTTTTAAATAATTTTTTATATATAGTAATTATAAAAAGATATTGAGAATTTTATTTTTTTATACTCCATGTTTCTTTTGTGGCGTTTGAAATTTTATCCCAATATATTACGTACTATTTTATTGGACGTTATAATTTTTTTTAAAATTAAAAAAATTAATAAATAGATTATAATTAATAATAATATTAAACTATATATTATACATTTTATCTAGTAACATGATAATGAATATGATATAAAATTGATTTAAATATAATAAAGTTACAACATATTATTATACTATATAATAGAATATATAATTTTATATGTGTATATAAATAATATTATTAAATTCATTTTAACTCTGACATTAATTTACTTAAAAAAAATTTAAGGTTGAATTATATTTTTTACCTCCACTTAAAAATCTCCTAACAATGTAATTTTGAAAAAATGAATCTAAACATTGAAACATTATTACAACATTCTATAAACATTAAAATATTATTACAACAATTTTACTATAATTATCAAAATAGATAATGCGACCTGATCGAGCCTAGCTCATCACGGGTTGGTTACTTAGTGAGTCAATCCAATCTGACTCGCTTATTAGCGAGCTGAAAAAATTCGAACTCGACTCGACCTAAAAACGGGTTGATTCACTGACTAATTTAACTATAAGATTTTTCAAAATAAAAAATTACAATTTTTTTAAATTCAAATTTAAATAAATTTCAGACTAAAATAATGTTAAACTCTACCGCCAATTCAAAATAAAAAAAAGGCGAACAAATAAGTTTTTAATATTGATATTTTTTGTATCACTTGTTTATTTATAATATTAGAGTATTGAATAGATAAATCTATAATATTTTTTTTCTCTACAAAATAATTAAATTAAATTAGGTGATTTGTTGAGCCAACCCGGCCCACAACGGGTTCTTCGGAGAGCCAGATTATAAGTAAGCCGAGTTGAAAACTAACTTGCATAAAAAAGTTTCATTTTTTCAAACCCAACTCGACTCAAACTCGTGGTTGCCAGGGTTGGCTCGGAGATTACAATCGATTTTGACATCACTAAATTTTACAAACAATGAAAACTTTTTATTTTGAGAAAATTATAAAAGAATAATGTAAATCTACAATAAATAAATAATAAATAATGTAAGATGTTATAAACTGGTTATATAAAATTAAATTATATTTAAAAATTAATTTCTTAACATAAATTAAATTCAATACGAGTTATAATTTATCTAATTTAAAATTTTAAATATTACATTATATTTTGTGTAGTTTTTTTTTTAGTTTCTAAAATTGATTTCATTTTCAAAATAAATTAAATTGACCAAAAAGATATAATTTTTTTATCATTATGCCACTTAGTAATTTGTATAAAATATGAAATTAAGTAGTCTAACAGCTAACTGAAAGTTTTGAGTTAATGAATTTAAGTGTTAGATTGATTAAATTTTACATATTGAATGAATGATAGGTGCGTCGAAGGAATTAGAAAATTTTGTGTTTTTATATAAAGAAAAAAGAAACTAAAAACAGAGTGTGTTTATCCTCTTTGTTTAGATATTTAGATAAGGAGAACCACAAATCTTCACCACCTATGAGTGGCAAATATACTTTTCAGAGATAACGGAAAAATAATAATTAATCACTTTATTTTCATAAATTTCTTCTTGCACTTACATAAATTTTGGATTATACAGTTTAAAATCTAAATTTTATATTTTAAAATATACAATTTATAATATATTTTTCATTTTGGATTTTATAATATACAATTTAGAATAACATTTTTTATATTCTGGAATACAAACAAATATACAAAACATTATATTCTGTACTGTATCGGAATACAAAT